CATAAAAAGACAGATCGAGTTCGAAGATGAGCATTGTAGCTCAAAAATTGGATTCTAAAAAGATCAAATACCACAGGTCGCAAAATATTATTTTTTTCAAATATTTTTTCATGGTCTCCTAATGGGTAACTCGTGAAAGTAGAGCTCTTAGGGCGAAAATTTCGTCCGTTTTGCTTTATCTTGTACCGTTTCGACGCTATGGCTCATCTCTTGGCGAAAACAACCCGAAAAAGACAAAATGGTCTATTAAATAGTAAAAGAGGCTTCATGTCACAGAATTGTAAAGGGAGTAATACTTAGACCACAGGTTACGGGTCGAACCCCACCCTCTTTTGGGCTTAAGGGTCCCTAGATTATCTACTATCTCTAAAACGTTGATTTTTACATAACAATCTGACAAAATTCGAGTTTTTAATGAAAACCGTTACCGAACAGCATAAAGTCTCTTGTCCCTAATTTTAGAGTAAGAAGACCCCGACAAATGGTTCAAGTGTGTCAAATTTTGGGCCCGGAAGACCTTGACTCCCTATACCCTTTCCTTAACTCGTCTCGGGTGTCAGCGCCGCAGGCCTAGCTATATGTGCGCCAGGCGCGTCGCAGCGTAACAGTGTTTCGTGACATATTGCGAAGCCTGTTACGCGAGACGTGGTCTGGCGTACATATAGCTAGTTTACTTAGCTGTATGTATTGTAACAGTTTTGTTTGAAATTAGTGTAATGTCAATATTGAATTTAATTGTATATTGTAATGTACTACATCTTGTATTGTATTTATACTGAATTAATTATGATAAATAAAGTGTAAAACTGGCGTGCACATGCTCATGCTCAACTCTACGTTGCACACTTTCAAGTGTTCCACAGGATTTTGGATAATTCGAAGTGTTGAACAGTAAATTTGAACACTTTAATGTGTCCAAAACTTCATAGCCAGCCCTGATGTTGGACACCTTTAAGTGTTGAACTTTACTGCTAAAAACAAGTACTCAAACACCCAATGAAACCAAAGCCAGTTGAACAATTCATGTTTATCATTGAATTTGTAATGAGGTTGTATTAAATGTTGTCCAACGTTTCATAAAAAGATATTTAAATATTGTGTCACCCTGCTTTTGAGTTCGCAGTCACCGATACCTTTCAACCGCCGGCTAGGTTGACACCCGACCCCAATGCATACGGCGCGTTTCGTACCATTTCGGTCGTGCACTGTTTGGGCACTTCAGTGTTTTTTCGATGAAAGTACGTTGAAAATGATCACGCTCCCAAAAAGACGTACAAGGAGAATGGCAGAGGACGTACCCTCCCCCCCCCTCTAAAAGTAGCTATATGTACGCCAGACCACGTCTCGCGTAACAGGCTTCGCGATATCTCACGAAACACTGTTACGCTGCGACGCGCCTGGCGCACATATAGCTAGGCCTGCGGCGCTGACACCCGAGACGAGTTCAGGAGAGGGTATAGGGGAACAGGGTCTTCCGGGCCCAAAATTTGACATACTCGAACCATTTGTCGGGGACTTCTTACTCTAAAATTAGGGACATGGAACTTCTGCTGTTCGGTAACGGTTTTCATTAAAAATCGAATTTTGTCAGATTGTTATGTAAAAATCAAAGTTTTAGTGGTAGTAGATAATCTAGGGACCCTTAATCCCAAGAGAGGGTGTGGTTCGACCCGTAATGTATGGTCTTAGTATTACTACCTTTACAATTCTGTCACATGAAGCCCTTTTTAACGATTTCATAGACCATTTTGTCTTTTTCACGTTGTTTTCGCCAAGAAATGCGCTATAGCGTCAAAACGGTACAAGATAGAGCAAAGCGGACGAAATTTTCGTCCAAGGAAGCTACTTTCACGAGTTACCCCTAAGCAGCCCATAAAAAATATTTGAAAAAAATAATATTTTGCGACCTGTGGTTTTTGATTTTTTTAAGAGTCAATTTTTGAGCTACAATGCTCATCTTTGAACTCGATCTGTCTTTTTATGGTACAAAACGACCCTGAAAATCTCAGGTCGCTATCTCAATTCTTTCTCGAGTTATCGTGCGGACAGACGGACAAACAAACAAACAAACAATCAGACAAACAAACAGAATGAAACTTTCCCGGTCAGTGGAGTTATGGGCTTTGCTAATCGCTCAGCCAACAACAACAACAAATCAGCACGGGCACGGGATCTCTATAGGAAACGAGCGAGGAGTCACGGGAACACAATACGTCTATCCAGGCGAGGGACAGTACACAAGTGTGTCCGTAGCCACTGGTTACAACAATAATAGCGAAACGGGGCAGCGCGAAAGAGGGAGCGGGTTTAGGTGTGGCCAGGGTATTTGACAGCAAGTGACCATTTCTGTACACTTAAGTTTACACAGATATGCTAAGTGACTTATTGGTTGGCCGCACGCCCCACCAAACGCCACCGGTCAGCCAAGCTAGGCTTGGTCCATGCCGAACGGAGTTGCCTGCTGAGCGAATTGAAGCTGGCAACTTCGTTTGACGGGAGGGCGGGCCTAGCTTGTTCTCTCAGTAAAGACATGACTTATCAGGATCCGTCCCGTCTATCTTATTTGATAATACATATAATTCTTGAAAAGGTTCTTGACTCCATAATTTGGTACACAACACTCAAAACCAAATAAAGTGGCTTGATGCGAACATGTTAATTACTCTCGAGGGGTGAACAACTGGTGTATTCCTCTGTCCCCGAGGCTTGTATTACCTAATATTACCGTATATTACCATGTATTCCATGTATTACTTTGTATTACAAGATTTTTTTCTCTGTAATACCTTATATTACTCTGCAGTACCATATATTGTAATATCATGTATTCCCTGTATTACCTTGTATTCCCTGTATTACCTTGTATTCCCTGTATTACCTCGTATTACTTATAGTACTCTATATTACATTGTAATACTTATATTATTTGAATTCTTGTAACCCTCTGTATGACTTGTATTACCTCGTAATACCTGTGATACCATGTAGTA